ATTCGATTGCATTAAGGCTTTATGATATCCTTCACAGTAGACATTTTAACATATCAAATTGCTGATCACCACTTTCATTGCATTTTGGATGATTTAGTCAACTTTGTAACACCCATGGTGTTCCCGGTCATAAAGAAAAGGAATTAGTAACCATCCGGATCAGATAAAACACACACACACACACACACACACACACACACTCTAGATGTGTTCCCCCCCTTATGTGCCCAATCCCCCCTTATGTGAATCACACCTGGTCCTCACAAACACACACAAACACACAGAACAATTTGACACATTTCCCGCTCTTATGGACACCTGGCACACGCAATACATGTTCAGTGTCTGTTCTTTGTATATTTACTGCAGTTTTTCATGTATACCAGTAGTCTGATACAATATGTACAGTTTGAAAGGGTGTTAAATGACATTTGGTGTTGATTAATGGTTTTTGTGTTAATGTAATAGCAGTTAAAACAGGACCGGTCAAATTTGAACGCGAACACCAAAGTAAGGGGGGGAAAACGAAGACAATAGGAGGGTTAAAAGAATGAGAAACCTTCTGTGGAAATTAAACCAGTGTTTGAAATCCTTATTATTATATGACATGTTCAAGTTACATGACTGACCACTGTGCAGAGGTGGAATAATTACTCAGATTATTGACTTAAGTAAGAATAGCAATAACACAGTCTAAAAAAAAACTCAAGTCAAAGTCCTGCATTCAAGTACCTAAGTACCAAAAGTAAAATGACTCACTATGCAGAAACAAAACACCATGTATTTAGTTTTTTTAATGATTTTATCATAATTATTGATGCATTAATGTGTTCATCACTTCAATGTTGCACTTGGTAAAAGCGGGTATTATTTAAATTAGTTGATATACTACTGGGTAGCTAAACCTATAATAATATATGATAATATATTACTAGATTTATATATTCAAGTACAAGTACCTCTTTTCTTTTACTTCAGTACATTAGTAGTTTACAGCAACTTCGATGGAAATCTGTCATTTAAACAAAATGTCTTTCTATATTTGTAAGAGAAAATAGCAAATAACAAAGCATCAGCAGAGGGACCGAGCACCATCAGAGGATTTCTGCAGCGATTTTGTTAGACTTTATTTGAAAGAAAAACAGCTCAACCTTGTGATTTCTGCAAAGAAAGGCTAAGAGCATTTGTCCTGAATTGGTAATAAAATGTTACATCATTTTCGGGTTAGAGCTGGTTTCAACAAGCTTCAACACAATAAACACACACTTGGTTCAGGGGAAGGTCACTAGACATATTGGTACCAATGAAACTGTATGTGTGCTGTGTTTAAGCTAGATCCGATGGTAGTGTTCTCTCACGGTTACACTGTCAGTAATTAGACACACTCGATAATAAACAAGGTCAATTATATTACATTACATATTCTTAGTATTATGATCATCTTTTCCAATTCAAAACAACGAGTGAAAAGCAACAAATATAATATAATACAGAATTTTATGTATTTTTGTATGACATATGGAACATTTTAATGTGTTTTTAGCCATATTAGCCTCTCTAGGAACAGTCATTTTGTTCTCATGGTCGACCACTTTAGTTTACACTGAAATATGTTAATAATGTTCTAACTGAATTTTGCGCACACAGAGGATGAACCCTAATGACGTGTTGATTCCCTGGCTGTCATTAAGTTATCTATCTTAATTATGAATTACAAATATCTCAACAAAGATTGATTTTCACCCATTTGTCTAAAGATATTCATGGTTCCCAGATGATATGCTTTTGCCTTTTTTTTTTTGTGCCAATAAGAGGATGATATTTGGGATTTGAAGTTTCATATTACTGTACAAGTATTGAAATGATTGATGTGTGAATTTTGGTCCTGAAGTTCATGTTCCCCTCAGGATAAACTATTGTGACTGTGATGCTCCTCTCACCTTTCTATGTAGAGACATCGTCACGTCAAATGTGTTCAACACTGGTTTAGGACCGAAAACCAAAGAAAACGAATGCTATCTACACCAACCTCATTCTTACTTGTACTTTTTTAGCACTAACTATGATTGAGTTAGATGGTGTACATGGTAATGAGGTGTAATAAGGGGGAAAAGCGGCTCAGATGACTGTACAATATAAACACTGTATACTGGTGGCTTCTATATTTTAATAGTACCTAATGACCGTGTGTACTCTAGTATGTATAGCTGGGGTTTGATCACATATCAGATGGACCATTGTGTGTATGGAGTGGCATATTCACAATCAAACAAGCATTGTAGTATATATTTCCACAAATAAGGACTATAAAACAAATATAATCTCTTTGGTTTCCTAAACAAATCCTAATTAAAACCCTATCAGTGGCATATTAAAGATTTACAGACATTTTCACACATTTGCACTCGGTGTTATGTGCTTCATTATTTATGGCATCGAACAGAAACACCTCAATTAAAAGTTTAATGTCTTGTCCACCAATATTCCTACCAAGTACTTCTTCCTAACGTTTGATTATATTGTTCATGATGCTTCTTTTTCATTACCATCCCGCTGTTCATTGCTCTTACAGGACGTGGTGGGCGGGCGCTTTGATGCCGGACAGGCCTTCGTGGGCGAGCTGAGTCAGGTGAACATTTGGGACCGCATCCTGAAGCCGGTGGAGATCCAGTCGATGGCCAACTGCAGCTCTTACATCCCCGGGAACGTCATCTCCTGGCTAGCAGCCAATGTGGAAGTGTTTGGGAGGGGAGCGTTCAAGCGGCCCATGGAGACGTGTCAGGAGCGCCTGCCTAAAGCTTAAAAACTCTCGTGCCTCTCTTTAGATACACTTAAAAAACTGAGCCGTTGGCTTTATGTAAATGACTTGTGTCAACAGATTTCACATAACTGTATTAGGTTAATTGAAAGCAATAATATTAATTACACTTTTTTTTGGGTTAAACTTAAAGTTCACCTATTATGCAAAATCCAATTTTTCATGTCTCTTCTACATCAATATGTGTCCCCTCTGTGGAAAGAGACTCTGAAAGTGTCAGGAAAAAAGATTTGCTCTCTTTTTGTCCTGATCCATTTATATAAAAACCTGTCTGAAAATGAGCTGATCAGATTTTGGCCACTTAATGATGTCATAACGATTTTTTGGCTTGTGTAACCATTAGCCAATCACAAACCAAGGTAACCCCCCCACGTTATCACCTGAATCTCCTCCTAGAGCACCATTGTGTTCTTTGTAACCAAATCTCTCTCAGAGGGGCGTGGGGAGGGGCTCCTTATTTTCATCTAAAGTAACAGACAGAGAATCAGCACTTTGGAAACAGGGCTGAAACAGAGGGGATTATGGGTAATGCTGCAATGATCTGTTTGGTGTTTGGAGCCAAACACCTCAGAGACATGTTTTGTATATATATCTGAGACCTATAATATATTGATGAAAAACAGTATAATAGTNNGGCTCCTTATTTTCATCTAAAGTAACAGACAGAGAATCAGCACTTTGGAAACAGGGCTGAAACAGAGGGGATTATGGGTAATGCTGCAATGATCTGTTTGGTGTTTGGAGCCAAACACCTCAAAGACATGTATATATATCTGAGACCTATAATATATTGATGAAAAACAGTATAATAGTGGACCTTTAATTTAATTGCTTTCAACTAACCAACACAGTTATGGGAAATGTGTTGTTATAATACATTGAATTAAAGTCAACGTTTCAGGTTTTTTAGTGCAAGTGTTTCCATCCATTCAGCATTTTTTTCATTGTCTGCTTGGCAATTCGTGGGCTTTACATTGAATATCAGCGTGTAAAAATGTTCTTTTTTCTTACTCTGCAAAGAAAGATATTTGAGAAGCACTTAAACCCTCAGGTGTTGGTGCTAAGACATCACTTACTGTACATCTTCATCCCCTCGCAGACGCCCACACACTCCTCCCACCACACTCAACAGCTTTGGAGTAATGAAAATCCACTCTAGTCCTACTCAGACGCACGCCACTACAGGGTCCAGACTGTTGGCCGCTGACCTGTGAGTTGATGTTGCGTGCAGCATGGGAGTGGAGGGAGGTAAGATCAAGGGTCTGGCTAATGTTATGTCTATTCCTTAACTAAGGAATGGGCTTAAAGCCAACACCAATCAAACCTATAACCCTGACATGTTAGGGGGGTTCAAATATGGCACTTTACCTGTTACGTGCACGTAGCTTGTAGTTCTGTGCAATAGAGTTATTGAATGTTAGAAGCAATACTTTTGATTTTGCAGCCTTCATGTAAGTAAAAAAATCACCTTGGTAAAGCTTTATTCTTGGATACGGATACCGGTGATACTAGGCAGTCTATCACAGTGCTTTTTGTCCTGCCTTCTTTTCTTCTGAATGAAACCTGTTTAAATGGTGAATCATGTTGGAAAAATATTCATAGCTTCATTGTTGTGATATAACTTTACTTGTGATTTTTCGTTGACAGAAAGTGTAACACGTTAGACCAATCACACTCTCAAGAATGTATTTGAAATGTACTTGTGTAGTGTCACTGTCCGTTGTCAAGTGTATCTGTCAAGAAAAAAGGTAGTTTTTTAATGTAATCTCTATTTTTAGTAATGTAAGGCATTGTCGATCTTGTCATGTGGCCTTCTCATGCAGACTTAAGTGCCATCAAATGTTTTAAGTGTTGAAAACCATTTGCTTTGCCAATAAATGAAAATGTGGGAAATAAAGGAAATGACTGCAAAATAAATTCACAAAATCGTGTTTTCTTCATCTGCCAGGCCCCTTAGATATCCTCCTAATCAGTATACTTTCTGTATTCCATTATTTAAGCATTCAGTTACTCTTGTTTGTTGTTGGTATGATAGATCAACACCAGTTTAAAATACATTTTGCTATTTCTTAGTATTAGTCAAGCGGGTGACAAGGAGGACATGATTTAATGACACAGGCTGATCTTTAGGCTCAAGTGGCTTTGGTCAAGAACAACAGGTGTGCTCCGGCATTAGCAACACTAAACAGATAAGAGAGGTCAAAAGGTCAGGGGTTACATGACTTACACACTCCCTCAAGACAAAGCAGCTCTTTCCAAGTTCACTCTGCTCTGGATACACCTCAAGCAGTGAGTATTTTCAAAAACATAAATGAATGGCAGCACTTCAATCCAGATTAATTAAATACGTTGTAAAGGCAGGATAAGCCTGTGAACTCTATCAAAACTGAACAGTTAAATAAAATGTCTAAAGAAGTGTTCATATACTGTTTCTATATGACTATTGTATATATATATATTGAAGAACATTAAGGCCAGTTTAAAGGATATACAATTGTTTTGCATTTGTAGAATAAAGTTGAAATGTAAAAGTATAAAATTTATCTTTCAATATTGATGCTATTTGTACCCGGGTAACTATAGTGAACAAGGCTATTTGAACCCAAATGACTATAGTCAACAATGCTATTTGTACCCGGGTAACTATAGTGAACAAGGCTATTTGAACCCAAATGACTATAGTCAACAATGCTATTTGTACCCGGGTAACTAGTGAACAATGATATTTCCCGGGTGCAAATACAACTCTGAAAAAATTCATCACATGCGAACTTTAGAGAATAAAACAAACTAGGCCTACTAGCATTAGCGCCTATACTGATGTTTGACAATAACTTTAATAACAAAAATGCAAAATAAAAATAAACTCTTCCTACACAACCTTTTGTTTAGACACCTAATTGTTAGAAAAATATCCCTCGTCACCGGCTTGGTCTTCAATATCAGGATCCATGTACTTATTATCCTCTCAAGAATGGAAGTAGTCAGGGGCGGACTGGCCATTGGGAATACCGGGAGTTTTCCCGGTGGGCCAAAAAATTCTGTTGGCAGGGAAACGGGGTTCAGGGGGAGTGGCTGCATAGAGTGACTGTACCCGTAGGATAGAAAAGGGGGAAGTGACGTCTGAGTCAGAGGTCACGAGGCTGTGGAAAAGAACGTGTTGCCCACATTCTGTTATTGAGTTATAGCTAGCAGGTTTATTGTTTTGGGTGCAGTCACTTTTGCCTCCACTTGCAGTTCAAATAAATGTTGAAAGAAAAAGCAAATCTGTTTACAGTTCCGTTTCATATGGGTGTTGAGAGATGTATCCATAGATTTAGTGCCTAATTTTACTCTCAAAGTGCACCAGATTGATGCATTTAACTTCAACATTTAAAAAGAAATCTTCCCGGGTGAGGTCCACCACCTGCCCACACCCCCAGTTAAATTGTCTCACCCACATTGAGGATGCTTCCTACGCCCATGTTTTATTCCATGTGTCAAGTCAGGCAAATTGGGTCCAAAATGTTATTGCATCAATGATCTGTTAACATTAAAATCACAAAATATATGCTGTAACTATTTTGCTCTAGCAACTCAAGGGCTCAGGTAATGTGATTACTATATGAATAATGGTCCAAAATAACATGAAATGCATAGGTTGTTTTTTTAAGTAACATATTT